CAGATCGAACGAGCACAGTCTAGAGGAGTTCCTGGTAGAAATTCTTAGAATAATAGCTCTTAATACCTCAAGGAATCCTTTCTGCTGTTCGGACATGTTATTCAGTGGTACAAACATCTCGTCGGTTTGTTGATCGACCAGCATCGTGTGTCTGTGGCTAAAAGTTCCCCTTCCGACATCTTGCCCGCTGAAGCGCACATGATAGCCTGTCAAACGGAATATTTAAACAAAATGAATAAGCTGATAAGTGTAAACTAAAGCCAGTCCTAAAATGATAAAATTTTTCATTAAACAGCAAACAACTTTTGTTTCATTTGGTATGATGTACATTTGGTATGATGTACACAGCATCTTTTGAAAGTGCTTACGTCTGTAGACAAAACTATGGAGCTAAATCTGCTGAGATAAAACTATTTCCAAGAACTATCGCATGTTGTGTTGTACGAGGTGGTTCTAACGTTCACATCTGTGGATAAAACTCTGACCAGTGTGTTATCATCCAAATACCTAGGGCGCAGATCGAAGATTTTTCTTAGGACGGGAGTTCATCACTGAGGACTTGCCAAAACTGACGGTGACGTAAACAACTTTTAAAAGCGAACTACAAAGAAGAAGGCTTATGACTAAGCAATAACATAGTGTGAACTGCTGAGAATACCTAGCAAATAACACAGCAGGTTTAGGATAACCTTGAAGTTTATTTGAAGGTCGCAGATACACTCCTGATACCTTCTCATAAGCTGTACAAGGTAGCTCTATCATTTAAGTCTGCAGATGACGCTTTTGGAGTGTGGCGTTTCACCACTGATTGCTTTTTTTACATGAACTAAATTGTTACTCTTTGGATAAACCTTACTGCACGTCACGTCAAATGCCCTCTCCTCAAAATTGAAGATGACGTAGCGTTTTCACCTTGATGAAGAAGGCTTCCAATGGCGAGAGCTTCTGCAGTAGCCCAGTCAATCCCGGTGCCACTTCCTAGTTTTTTGATCCTGGCTTTCGCGTGAGTCTTTTTCAGGTGCGGGTGAATGTTAAAGGAATCAGGTGTTTCGACAGACTTCGCTCCAACGAAAAGCAAGCCCTCTAGGGGGAACCCTTTGTAAGGAGAAAAGGAGCCATTTAAAATGAGAAGTTTCAATCAAGTGTCAGAGAAGTCCTGGATTTCAATGCTTTTGCTCTACTATGTTCTGACATTGATTCAAAAACTCACGCTATCTTCCTAACCAATCAGGTACAATATTAAACCTAACCATGTTTTTGTCATGGGCATTTTCAGGCGTTTTAAGCTAGTCCCGTGCATTTCTTGTGACCATCTCATTGGCTCTTCGGAATGTTCACCTCTGTTCTGATTGGCGGCAAAGCCTTGGTTCTAGCTTTAAGTCATTCGATGGAAGCGCGATCTAAACAGCCAGTGAGTCAATAAACTTAAGCTGCCTCTTCATTGCAAGGCAATTAATATTCTACCTGTATCCCAAGTAGTAATCTTATCCTCGCTGGCCTGTACAAAGCCTTTCCAGTGTCCCTCAAGGTGGCTTGTCTGTGGAACAAGATTGTCTGAATGCTTCAGTTCTTCATTAAGAAAATCGGTATATTGATTGTCATCCTCGGTTCCAAATGCAGCCACACCTTTTTGCGCTAAACTGTTGGCATACAGCACTGGTACACTGGGTCGACTCGCTATTTCTTGGTACATTACAGGTTGTGTGAAAGATGGATCATCAATCTCATTATGACCCCTGGAAAAAAAAAAAAAAACCAAAGCAAGTAAAAGCCTGAGTTTCAATTTCTCATGGGGAACTCAGAGTTATTTTTGGTGCCTGCTCGTGAAAAGACGATCATCGTATCAACGAAACTTAATGCAGCAGTTTTAAGTACATTCTTAGCATTATTACCGATGCGGCGTTCATTCAAGGACGAGAATTTTTTGAAAACTATGTTTATTAGATCACTGACAAAGACTACAGTAATAAAAACAAGTGCAAATTTATGTGAAACAGAAACATCTAGTTTTTCGCTTTGTTAATATAAATTTCCAAGGATGGTGTTAATCCGCCAATTGTGCCGTATTTGCTCTTTTTTTTTTTCTGTTCTAATCTTCAAATAAATGTGTTACCTCTAAAGACTTTTCTGCTTGAAAATGTTTTGGTTTGTAAGGGGAAATTCATCTTTGGTCACTCTTGGGAGCTAAAAGGTTAATTACATTAACAAGGAAATGTTAGGCGGTTAGTCTCTGCATCCACAACCTTTGCCTTCTCCTGTGAGGGACAACCTCAAAGAAAGTAATTCAAACATACCATTGCCTGTAACAGAGCATGTCAACAATTATATCCTTTCTGTATTTCCTTCTGTATTCAAACGCCAGGCGACAAGCTCGGACCACTTCCTATGAGATCAAACGCAAAAGGAAAACTTAAAGGATAACGATAAGTAAGTCTAAAAATACTGATGTTTTTCTTGTTTTTTTTTTTTGTTTGTTTTTTTTTTTCAGTACCACCGAACTTTCCCCTCCATCAGAACGGATTAAAAACCACGTCTCTTATAAAGCAGATTTCAATTGAATGTCTTTGCTTTACTTCGCCCTGTGATTGACCCAGAAAACTCACGCCAATCTACCAACCAATCAGATGCACACGAAAAACCCAACCACGAATTGTTCGCACGCGTTTTCCCGCGCTTTCCCGCGCTTTAAGCAGCTAGTATGTTTTTACTCTTTGGGTACTTTTCTTTTTCTGATTGCCCGTTGTGATCATTTGGTTTTGCTTTCACGCTCTATCCAAGCTTGCAGTCTAAATTGTCTTGCATAGACGGTTAAAAAGTCAACAGTTATTCTTAGAGATTTTCAAAATTTCATTGATGTGAAAGTGGCCATGCATTTATTGTTACTGTACTTATAAAAACAGTACTAAAGAGAGTAATAATGTTATCTACCTCCACGGTAGAATAATAGATATAAAAAAAGCAGAGCATAACAATGTCTTGGAAGAAACATTTACCTCAGGGTTATCACCATTAACATGGAGTACAGGACACCCAATCATTTTACCAACATCACTGCTGTATCTAGAAGACCTGCAAAGTAGATCTCGTAACTTCATTAAGAGTTCTCACCTTAAATGTTACAGTGCATCAGAAGAAAAACATGCCAATTTGCAAAACACAATGAAAATTATTACCTTCCTCTCTCCCCAGGTGTCGTGAAGCCAAGCTGATTATTAACAATCAAATGGATTGTGCCACCAACACTGTAATGAGGAAGGTTTGCCAGACAAAAGGTTTCTGCCACAATACCCTGTGCATAAGACAAATATTCTGCTGAGTTGTTGAAGGTTTTCCTCAAACTCAGTTTCTGTGCTAACAAGAGTGGTGTTGTGCCCCTGCTGTTTTTTAACACACCATTAACTTTCCTTGACCAAACACAGAATATACTCACATTCATGACATTACCTGGATTATGCTTAATAGGTCTTTGTTAGGTCAGTTTATTCAGGACTTTGTCATGAAGAACATAGTGATGCATTCTATGCTTTGTGGTAATAAAAATAATGTGAAGGCCTTGCTTATGAGTGACTTATTCAAGAAAAATCAAGAAGCTCAAATGTTTATTGCCAGTCAGATGAAAAATGCATTTTATTACCTGGGCAGAGAACGAAGCATCTCCATGCACCATAACACTGAGCACCTGAGAAAGAAAAAGGATCCAAAGTTTAGAACTGATCTTGTTCTTTAATCACTCACCAATAGACTAGGAATTTTAAAGTTTGTGACGAAATAGTTTGCAAAGAAGGCATCATTAAGTGAAAAAGGAATAAGGGAATCACCAAATCCTTTCCTTTCACCAGATGCTAATGACCTAAAAGCTCGATCTGCTTCTGTGGAAAGTGCCTCCTTTGAAAGATTGGTGTAGATTAGCCAATTGTCAGCCAGTAAGTCGGTCAGCCAGTTAGCCGGTCAACAAATAATGTAGTCCATCAGTCAGTCATTCAGTTAGTCAATCAGACAATATTATTGGTCAGTGAGTTGGCGAGTTGGTCAGTTTGCCTCTTCTACATACAATTATATTAGCCAATAAATAAATTTACAAGAACACTTTCAATATACCCTGTATATACATACATATATGTACAGTAACCCCAAAACAGGAAGCAACTTAAATTGCATCTACCTTTTCACCCAGTGGGCTGTCTGTGAGATTGCTGAAGCAACCATCCTTTAATGTAAGCTGTCGACCCCTCGCCTTACCAGCTGTAACAGGATTGACAGCTTCCAAGTGTGATGGGTTTGGCAACATGGTCACCCGCAAATTGCAATCTTCAAGATCAACAGAAGTGTCTAAAAAGAATATTAAGTAAACAAAACAAAAAACAGGAAATTTAGAAAATCTGCAATTTTCAAATGAAACCCTGTGATTTTAGGGGGAACTTTAGTTAGTAATCAGTTAGAAATGGAGAGGGTGACAAAGTCTTCAGTACTTATTACATCAGACTTGCTGTTTAGAAAACTGAAGCTATTCAAGCGTTTCGTTTAGATGAAATACCTATGTGAGCAGGTTCCTTGGACAAGCTTGTAAATATTTATAATTAATTTATGTAAGACTTGTCTGGTAGTTCTTTGAAAAGGTTCTGAACTAATGTTGTCATTAACTTACTCAGGTGAGAGAGGACATCTCCAATGCCTTGGGCACCTGGAGGAAGCTCAGAATTCCCTTTGATCTGTTTTTGTTAAAAGAGATTTGGAGTAATGTTTTCCTTAATAATTAACCAACAATGACATCTACTGATATGTCAATTATATCAAAATAATAATAATAATGATAACCATCTACTAAAAATTGAAATTATGATCCAAAAGTTTGGAATATTTTGAAACAAACCACTGACCTCAAAACTCATCTACAAGTAATCAGAGACAGCAATAAATAACAGTAGATTGGAAATTCAATTTTACAGGGAGCCTAGTTTAAGACAAACTTTATCAAGTAAGACAATTTCACTGATAAGAAAGCTAAAATTAAGATAAACACAGTTGTAATATTGCACATAATGTCCAATAAAAACAAATTTGGAACCTGACCAAGGGTTAAAATCTTAAAAGCAGTTTCTTTATCAAACTTCCAACAGTTTAAACCTTATGGAATAGTTGGGCTGTAGGATATTTCAGAAGACCAGTTAAAAGGTTGAGTCGTCCTCGATGTGGTATGCCTAAAACTAACTCTTGGATTTTACCTGAAAAAAGAAAAAAAAAGTTTTCATTTATTGAACATATAAGGGTACTGCACTCAAAAAATACAGTCCACACCAGCTTCATTATTAACACCTTTTAAAAGTAAAAATTGAAACAAACAAAATCAATTTAAAATCCACCAGCCATAACAAGGAAACATGCATTGAAAATTAAACCCTCATTTGCAGAATCAAAGGGTCTGAACTCCACAGCCCAGGAATGGTGATTGGGCTATTTTCTTGAGCACAATACTTGACTCACACAGTCCTTTCCTCTTACATAGTATACCACACATAGGGGCTACACACATGTTGTAGTGCTCCTGAATACTACAACATCCTAATTCAAAAACCTGTGGATAAGTTCTCTCTGGAATCCATGCAAGTCAGTCTAGTGTAATATCCTCACCATTTTTCAATAATCGCTCCACAACATAACTAAATACAAAAAAATACTCACTTAACACACAGTTTCAACACATGTTCACTATTGAAAGATGTATACCCAAGGGGAAGCTTACCAAAAGATTATTAAGCATTACCTAGCATCAGAGTCACTGACTTTAAACTTACTGTTAGAGGACCGAAGAAAAAGTTCATCAAAAAATGCTATCATGCTCTCTGCTCCTTCAGCACCATATCGCTTGACTGTTGGGAATTTTTTGGCCAGAAAATTGTCAAATGCCTAGTTTGAATGTAAAGGTGTATAGGAGCAAATTACAAATTGAATGTTGAGACAATACATAAAAATAATCTAAGCCACTTGTAACTAAAATTTCACATTAAATATTCAAATTTACTTTTCTTTTCCAGATTAGATGAATTTATAGGAGAACAGGAGATTCTCTATGCAGCTTGGAGACTACCTCAGAATCTGAGAGGATTTGCATCATTTTGCAACTACTTAATTTTTAAAAATTAAAACAACTCAAATTTTTAGTACTAACAGCACGAAAGATCAATGACCTATTAAGTAAGTTGGCAGCCACATACATAATCAAACAACCACTGTAAAAATATAAAAGACAATGCACATCACAAGTCAATCAGTCTGATGTACCTCAGATTTCAACAAGAGCTTTGCCAGATATTTCTGTCTTTTAGATTCATTTTCTAGTGTCCAATAAAGAACACTCTTTTCAATCAACTGAGCCAACCAAAGCTTCTCTGACTCATCCTACAAGAAAAAAGACACACATGTCCAAGTAATTAGGTCATTACAATTATCGTAGCAGCTGTTTTTTTTTTTTTTTCAAGTCCCATACTCCTAGTGCGGCAAGTAAATGAAGCTAGCAAGACTCAAAATAGATTATACAATTGAAGTATTTGAGTGATGGTGATTAAGGAGGCAGTAGGTGCCCTTTTGACAGCAGCAACAAGTAATAATGAAAAAAACAAACATTACAGCTACTTTGATTTCCTTAGGTGCTGATGAGGAGAATTTGTTCAACAATCAATCTTTACTTGGTGATCATTTCCTTCATGACCTTAATGTTTGTTCCAGGGATCATGTTTTAGGGAGAATTTAGATGCTAGTCACTTAAGAGCAAATAACCAAGAAAACAATGGTCACATTAGAAAGTGAAGATAAATGTTTCAAGCTGAGGGAGCTTAACCTAAAAGGCTCCTTGAACTAGAAATCTGTTCTCATACCTCTATATGTTGTATTTCTGTGGATAGCTGCCCACAATAAACTTTTTCCAAATGTGTAAGAATTTCTGTAAGGGTAGCTTCCTCTTGACCGTTATAACATAACAAACCTTAATGTACAAAAAAAGTTATCAATAATTTAACTGACAATCAGTACTACAACAAAAGAATTTTCAAAGAATTGCCTTACCTGATAGCTTGAAATATTTATTTACATCCACATTATCCAAACCAAAATTTTCCACAGCAAGTTCCTTGGAGTTCTTTAACATACTTTGAAAATCTCTGAGAAAAATGGTAAAATATCAGTTACTAAAAATAAATATTAGATTTTGTTAGACGTCATTTAAGAATAAATACTATTTAACTATTTATTGAATAGTTTACATTTATGAACTCAACTCGCGCAATTATTTATTTAAATTTTTTATAAAAATTTTTAACTTTTTACGTTTGTCACCTTTGTACGGTATAAATTAACTATTCATTTTTATTCTCTTCTCACTTGAGAATGATGACATGGAGTCATCAAAACGCTGTGTGTTTTTCTCGCTAATATTTATTCTTAAAAATAAATAAAATTCAAAAATCAATCAGAAGGAGCAAGAATTGTATGTACACGTATGTACCTGGTTTTTGACTTCAAAGGATTTATGTCTGCTAGTTTATGCCCATGTTCTCTATAAGCATTTACTAGTCTAAGAATATTGGCATTCTTGATTCTGTTCTGGAACTCCTCTTCCCTCTCTAAACAAGAGAATTAAAAGAGTACTTAAAAACCAAAAAATATTGATAACTAGACAAGGTATGTCTCTTTACTAAGAGTACTAGAGACATTCCGTCACCTCCCTTGTGATGAACACCCCTCTGATTAACAATAACTCTCCACCACTTCTAAAGGGAACAGGGGCAAGGGTGTCTGTCTCTTCTTCTTTCATTCTTACATTATTCTACAACCAATCCATTCTAATTTTATCCACTTATAACTGACCTTCAACGGTTATTTGAGGAGAGGGCCTGTAACCAAAACACCCACTCTTTGCATGATACAGTTTGACAATATTAACACTACTCCTTAGGAAAACTTGATGTAAATTCTTCAAAGGTATCACAGGCCATGCAATTCTCCACATGATGGTGTTTGTTGGTTGAGAAACTTAAGCTGAGGGCTCCTTCACAATGGCATGATATCAGACATCAGAAAATCCCTTCCTGCAATAAAATTAAAAGAGAGGGATGAAAATAAGAGAGGCATATACTGCCATGAAAAATCATAGGTCTTGCAAAATTTCATCTGATCTCAAAATATCGTCTACCTATGCAACGAGTCCCAAATTCTCACACTAATTGTTCAAAGATTACAGAGTCCAATTTTGTTTCTTATAACCTTGACAATCATTTGAAAAGATGGCTTAAAGAGTAGCAAAAAGTCATTGATCTGAGAGATGTAGGTCTGCAAATGTTATCGCAGTTGTTTAACCCTTTCCCACTAAGAGTGACTAGCATCTAATTTGTCCTTACAATATCACCCCTGAATCACACATTAAGGTCATGAGAATATAGGAAATGATCACTAACTAAAGAAGGTCTTGATTGTTGAACAAATTCTTCTTGTCAGCACCTTTGGAAATGTACAGAGAAGTACAGAATGGCACAGATGTAGAGGAAATATTGCATGCAGTATTGATGTTGATGGTTTGCAATATGAATGCAAAAGTGCATAGCATCTCTATGGCCATTATCATTCCTCATCAAATTAGAGAAAAATTTTAAGTGCCTTTTTTCTTAGATCACACTTTAAGTTAGCTAATCAACAAATACTCGAAATGTAGGATGGCAACATATTAACGCTGAAGATTCAAAGTGAAATCTTTGGTTGGTAGTTAATGTTTTCATTTTACACATTTTTCCGCAATCGAGGCTTTACGCATGTGATAATTAAATTTTGACGTCGGTGCCCATAGAATCACGAACACCTGTGATTGTAATCAGAAACATTTTTCCTGTCTGTGCGATTATAACCCTATCAATCCGTTAGGATCGATTATGTTATCGAAACAAAGACATGCATGTCGAACGAAACATTGAGCTCTCCGTCCAGTCATAAGCCTTCTAACCTGCACCTGGCCGAAGATATTATTTTTGGCAATGTGGCAATACCGTCAAAACAAGAGCGCAATACTGAACCATGTGACAACTTCAAATGAAACACACACGATTTAGATTATTGTAAAGAAAAAACACAGGTAAAGCGTGGCAAATTATAACACTCATAGGTATAGAACACGTATCAATTAGAGAAATCAAGGAGACAAAAGCTAAGATGTAACTTCTACTCACAAAGTTTGGGGCTCAAGGACTGAGTCCTGATTGACTTCTCACCATAACGGCACACTACGAGTATACTTATATGATACCTCATGAAAATTCGTACAGCCGCTGAGCTAACGAGTTGATGGCGCCAACGTAAACTGGATATCTAATCATCTAGTAATGACAGGCAGGTCTTGCCTTGAGGCTTACTAGATATGTAGGAACATTCTAAAAATATAGTTTTACATTTTAATTAGATAGGATAAAACAGTCGTGTCATTAAAGACTAAAATATCTGCATGAGTATGAAAAACTGCGACCCAATCTTCCTCCTCTGTGCCCTTCAGTTTCCCCCTTCCTGTGATTCATACACATTCTCAGCTTAATTGAAAGATAACTGAATTATCAATTGGAGAGGTGGCCAAGAAGTGTCTGAACCTTTGATTTCTGTATAACGCGGCCAACCTTTCTAACACCAGAGGATATGTTTTTGACACAAACATCAGTAAATCAAATCCCATTTTTTTGCGTGAGAACATGAACCAAAGTTCGGTTCGACTCAGCCTGAACATTGGACACAATGACTCAATGCACTTCCTTTCGAGCATCATCTGTCTCTTTTCTTAATTTTTAGTTACTCCGTTTTCGTATTTTGAATGCGTCATCGTCTGACTTTCTATTTCCGGAGTGTTTCGTTTTCAATCGTACCTTCTGAACCTTCTTGATGGCCCAGCGTAGCAGGAAAAACAAAGGTTTGCCATTTCTGATTTGCAATTTTCAAACTAGCAGATATCAGCAGAGTATTCTATTTTTTCTTTATCAAATTAAGGCGTGAGCTTTAAGTGGGAAATTTGGGGGCTCTTAGAGGAGAACCCCCGTCAGTGGTACCACTTTTTGCCAACAGTTCGCCGATCTGTTGTTTTCATAATCAATTTGAAAACTTGTTTTCCTTTGTGCGCTTCACTTTAATCACTGGGCTTCATCTCTATTTCAAGAGCATTGAATCTTTCTTCAGAAGATTTCTGCAGAAGGTTAAAACAATGGAATTATACACTTATAGTTGTATCGGTGTGATACGCCGGCAGATATCGCATTCAAAATTATTCAGTATTATTCAAATTTTTTGAATTCTCGGTTTGCAGCGCTGGTGGGTTAAAACCTCGTTCAATGAGGCAATAACTTGTTACTCCCTTCTTATTAAAGTAATCTTGGATGACTGCAATTATATGTATCTTATTAACCAAGCGCGAGGGCCGTACTGGGAGAATATCGGCCCGAGGTCTTGACAGTACGGACCGAGCGCAGCGAGGTCCGTACAAAAAAGACCGAGGGCCGATATTCTTCCAGTACGGTCCCGAGCAAG